CCCAGCTCCCAGCCCTTGCCCAGCCCAGCAAAGCCCAAGCAAGCCCAGCCTGGAACTCCCAGCCCCATCTTCCCAGCTCAGGAGCTCTGTCAGAGAGAACAGGCCGGGCTGGGCGATTCTCCCTGGGCACTGGCCGTGCTGGAGCTCCCTGGGCTGGCTGAGGGAGGGCCTCACCGGGACAGAGGTTGTGCTGTGGGAACGGTCAGTTGTTTGTGGATGTGTGTTGGTGAAATCGGGAGCACGTGTGGCTTGGAGCAGACGTGCAGTTGGGGCACTGATGCCTGTTCTTTAACAGATGACAGACATCTTCTTCTCCCTCTTCCTCTTTGCTGTGTGGATGGTGGCCTTTGCAGTGGCCAGGCAAGGCATCCTGAGGAAGAACGAGCACCGCTGGGAGTGGATCTTCCGATCGGTCATCTACGAGCCCTACCTGGCCATGTTTGGCCAGTACCCTGATGATGTGGATGGTAATTACCTGCTGGGGGGATCTCTGCTGGGTGGCTGGGTGGAAGGCTCTGTCCTTCAGGCCTGTGTTGACCTGTGTGTTGACCCTTTGCCTCCAGGTCTGCTGGGGAGGCAGGGAGGGAGGAGGCCACACGAACTGTGGTCAGAGCAGAGCCCAGCAGGAAGTGGAGGAGAGGACTCACAGTTTGCTCTTCCCTCTGAGGTACCACCTACAACTTTGAGCTCTGCACCTTTTCTGGGAACGAGTCCAAGCCCCTGTGTGTGGAGCTGGATGCCAACAACCAGCCCCGCTTTCCCGAGGGGATCACCATTCCCCTTGTCTGCATTTACGTGCTCTCAACCAACATCCTCCTCGTGAACCTGCTCGTGGCCATGTTTGGGTACGTAAGAAAGGAGCCATCACTTCCTTGGGATCTCTGGACCAGTGTATCTCTGGGAGAGGGAATGGAGTCCTGGAAAACAGCAGGAAGCCAGCCCTGGGGCTCTGCATTTCTCACAGCAGTCTGATGGAAGCTGGTGCAGTGTCCTGGGGAGGGATTAAGTTTCCTTCCAACCCACACCAGTCCGTAACTCTGTGGCTCTGTGAAACCCTGCCCTGGTGCAGCACAGAAATGCTGTATTCCCTGGCTCTGATGGGGCTCTCTGAGTATCTCATCCTGGGGGGTGTTTTCTGTTTCTTCTCCCATTAGTTACAGGGTTGGATCAGTGCAAGAGAACAACGACCAGGTGTGGCAGTTCCAGCGTTACTTCCTGGTGCAGGAACACTGCAGTCGCCTGACCATCCCCTTCCCTTTGGTCATCTTTGCCTCCGTGTTCGTGGTGATGAGGAAGTGTTTCAAGTGCTGCTGTCAGAAGGAAAGCAAAGAGCCA